GTAAAAATAGATTTTATAATTGAAGCACAATACTACAAATCGATAGATTCAAAAACTCGATAATCGAGTTTTTGTTTAATTTTGCCGAGTACTAGCGGAAAGAAATAATAAAATTTTTTTTTTTACTATATTATAGTGATTTGTGTAATTTACAAATTTTATTTTGCTTTTGCTTCTTTCCATCAATTCAATTCAGTTGATTATTTAATACAATTTTACTTAATTATGTTCTTTTTTATTTGTTTTTCTCTTTTTTTCAGGCAGGAATAGCTTTAGGGTCCAAATTTTCTTTATTTTTTTACCATTTAATTGTTTCTATCTAAACTCATATATGTGCACCATCTTTAACTTGAGCCATTGAGTCAAGATCATAGTTAAGATTATAAAAAAAAGAAGTTAGCTGTGAAACAGATTTTAAACTTGCTATATTATATCGATCTTTGAGTTTGTCAAATGCAACTTGTAAAGTTTGATCTGTGATTGATAATTAGACTTTATAACTTTAAAAATAAAAAAAATTCAGAAATATTGATCTATATGGTTTCATTTGTTTTATTTGAATTCCTGGGGCTATGTAGAATTAGAAAGATTAACACTTTTAGGACTTTTTTTATAATTTAATAAGGAATAAACCAAAAACTTACTTATCAGCAAATAAACTGTCATATAATGGTTTATTAATCAAATTGTCACTTGGAATTTTATTTCTAAGTGTGCACTTTTGTTTGCTTGTTGTACATGTAATGATGTGTAGAATGATCTATTTTCAGAAATGTAGCCTAACAAAAGATTCAATAAAAAAATAAAATAAAATAATTATTATTTTCAAAACACAATTATTTACAGACACATTTAAAATAATAAAGAAATGTATTTAGATGTCAAATAAATAAAATAAAATAAGTAGCCTAATAAAAAAATTATTTTTTACTAATACATATCATTTATTTACCAAGTGCTATATAAGCATAAACCATCTGATTATCTAGCCCCAATAATAGAATAAATTTAGCTATTGAAATATAAAACTTTATTGAAAACTGCATCTTAGTGTTTAATATTAAATAAATAAATAAAATATTAAATGAGTTCATGGTGATAAAAAATATTATATAGCCAATCAAATTCATAAAATAATACAGAGATCATTTAAAGAACATGATTTTCTTAATTTAGTAAAATCCCTAACTAATGCACAACTTGTTAACTAGTCATAAAATTAGTTGACTAACTAGTCAACTAAAAATTTTAGTTAATTCAAATCATTATAACTACATTTTTATAATTTGATAATATATTCTTAAAAGGGTTTGATTGTATTTACTAATATATGCAAACTTTATAATAAAAATATAGTCATTCTCCTCTATAATTATACAGTT